TCTTTATTGCATGGATGCTAATACCTTCCCTACACGTAACTGATTCCCGAATCTTAGTTCCATTTATGTAGACCAGAACTTATTCTTTTTAGAGATCTTTAGTTTAGGCTTAGGATAACCTTAAAAGGGATAGATTCACATAAGTGGCCAGTCACACTTAAATAAAAAAGATTACTGGCAACTCTATGATTTTTGTGTCTAATGGGTAAGTTATTAACTTAAACGTTGTGATAGTTGCTTTAATTCATGGGAGAACTTGTTAATCAGTTATAAAGTTGTGTGGCAAACACTTGGAAGGGAAAAATGATTTTGAGAATCATATTACCACAATTAAAAGTACATATTATTGATTTTTATTTGCAATTTTTTGATGCATTGCATTTATTGCATGCATTTCATGCATTATATTCATAGCATGTATTCTATTTGTTGCATTCATTGCATACTTTTGATAAAAAAAAAAAAAAAAAGAGATAAAAGCTTAGACATGAAACTTTGGATTGAGGAAAAAAACTTTTTCAAGATGAGATGTTAAGAAATCCTTTTTGAGAAGCCTTTAGTAAAGAAGATCATTTTTTAGGTGAGACTTTTTTTTAACATGAGTTAAATTCTAAAAGTATTTTTGTTCAGTTTTCTAGGAAAGATCTTTAAAACCTCCCAGTATATTTTTTAAATTTTAAAGTTGTGATGCCTCTATTTAAAGGAGCATTTTCAATGATAAGAATGATTTGAAAAACCTATGAGCATAATTTCTAAAAACCTTTAAGCATGATTTATAAGACCTCTAGGTATACTTTAAAAACCTTTAAGAAATCTTTTAGAAACCTTTGGTATTCTTTTCTGAAACCTTTAGGTATCATTTTCTAAAACTTCTGAGTATCAGTCCCAAAAACGTTTAGGCACAAGTTAAGAATGATTTGTAAGACCTTCGAATATAATCTCAAAATCTTCAGGGCGTGATCTATAAAACCTCTGAGTATGATGTTTAAACTTTCAGGTACCTTTTTAAAATTTTTAAAGTTGTAAGCCTTTAATTTAAATGAACATTTTCAATGATAAAAATGATTTGTAAAATCTCCAAACAAAATTTTAAAGTTTTCCGGGTGTGATCTATAAGAGTTCTAGACAAGACATTTAAAACTTTTAAGTTTATTTTTCAATTTTTTAAAGTTATGGAGTCTTTGTTTTAACGAAGCATTTTTAATAATAAGAATAATTTGTTAGGCCTTTGGATACAATCTCAAAGACCTCCATATGCGATATATAAGACTTCTAAGCATGATTTTTGAAACTTTCGAATATGATTTATAAGACCTCATGGTATAACCTTCAAAACCCCTGGGCAATAGTTTTTCCAAAATCTCAGAGCATTCTTCTCAAAACCTTCAAGTAATATTTTTCAAAAACCTTTGGCTAACATTTTCAAACTTCATGGTGTATTTTCAAAGCTTTAGGATACAACTTTCTTGAGTCTTTATTAAGAAAAGTATTTTGAAAATTTTTTGTAAAATATGTTTTTCATTTTATTTAAATAAGTCATATTTGAATGTAATGATTGTTTATATTTTTGCATACTCTTATTTAATAGAAAATATGCATAAATGAATTACTATAAAATACCTTATTTTGTTTGGGGTTGACTTCTTTAGATGATCGAGATTGTATTAGATAATCAGCTCAATTTTTTTTTTTAATAAATTTTGATGGTTAATTGAATTCATTTGGATCTCACATTAATTTCGGTACTTCTAGTTGATGGTCAAATGTATCAAGCCAAATATAAAGTTCAATTGCTAATCGGCCCTTAGAGCCCAAATCCAAATGCATGTTAGGATTTTGTTTTAGGCCTTAGAGTCCAATAAAAATGTCTTGTCCATTTTTATTTTATTTATTTTCTTTTTAATATTAAAAAAATGATAAGAATCCGAAAGGATTCAGATTTTTTTTTTTTTTGAAAATATAAATCCTTGAAGATAGAAGTTCTGGAATGAAGACTTCTTTTAGATCAAGAGTTCTTTTTGAATCGGGATTAAGACTTATAAAATGCAGAATGCAACCGCTGAAAAGGGGGAACAATTTTTGGCAAGCTTAATTTTCAACCATCCGTTAGTCAAGAATCACATGAGCTATCCTCAACCCGGCAACCATTACCACTAAATCCATCGCAACCTAGAACCAAAAATTGACAACCACAACCTTTCTCAACCAATCACCACCATCACATCAGATTAAGCTCCCCTTGAAACACGTAAGAGTCCACCACAAAACATTCAAATAAATTATAATTATCCAAAATTTTGAAGAATTAAAATATTTTCAAATTTTTAAAAAATTAAAAAAAGAAAAAAAATTCAAAAACAAATTCGGAGAAATTAAAAAACCAAAATAAAATTGAAAACTCAAATGAATAGTAAAAATTTCAAAAAGATTCCCAAAAAATAAAAAAAATGAAAATTTTAAAAATTCCTAAAATGTTTAAAGAACGAAAAGAAATCAAAACCTAATTTTAGAAAAGCTCAAAAAAATTACAGTAAAATTTTAAAAAATTAGAAAACAAGTCCTAAAAATTTTTATAAGAAATTATAAAAAAGCAAAAAAAATGAAGTAATAAAAACAAATCTTGAAAAAATCCAACAAAAATATGACAAGCTTTAAAAAATCCTAAGAATTTAAAAAATTCCCAAAAAGTTTGAAAGATTTTTAAGGAAATTCCAACTAATTGCAACAAATGAAAAAATTTTGAAAAAGAAAAAAATAAAGAAAATAATATAGGGCCAAAAGTTTAGATTCTTTTTTATTTTTAAAATTTTCATTTTTTAATTTCTCATAATTTAAGAATTTTTAAAATTTTCATTTTTTTAGAAATTTTGAACTTTTTACCTTTTTTTTTTTGGTTTTTAAAAATTTTTCGCTTTAAGAATTTTTTTAATTTTTTGGATTTTTTACTTTTTTCATATTTTTCCCTTTTTTTCAAAATTTTGAATTTTAAAAAAAAATTTACATTTTTTGAAAGTTTTGAAATTTTAATTTTTCTAATTTTTTATAAAAATTTTAGGATTTTTGAAAATTTTTAGTTTTTTAATTTGTCAAAAAATTGTTTTGGATTTTGTTTGGATTTTTCAAAAATATTTTAATCTTTAATTTTTAAAAATTTTTTTTTTCAATTTTTCTTCTAATGCTTATATGGCAATCATAATGTAACGATAACTGAATGTTTTTTACATGTGTTATAATTTTATTCGCTATTGATGACAAGTTGTAATTTGACTAATGGTGTTAGTCTAAAGAATTAAAGTATAAGATGGTATTAAATTTTATATATCTAATTACAAATTTTATTTAACAAATTAATAAAAAATATACGATATAGAACATTTTTGTATTTAACTCTTTATTTAATTATTAATAGCATTAAAAGAATATAAATGCACTCTTAACGTGCATTTATACGAGACATTTGAAGGGAAAATTTCATTAGAATCAAAGTTTTCCAAAATTCAAATATAAATTTACTTGTTTGGGTAAAAATAAAAGAAATTTTCAAAATTTTGAAAGATTTTTAAGATAGAATTTCACAATTTAGGATGGAGAATTTTGAAATTTCAAAGAATTTTGAAATGCTAATATTTTGAATTGCATTAATTTAAAATAACAGAATTGATAATCGTATTATTTGCATAATTATTTTTTTTGAAAGAAATTTTAAATATTGGATTTGGATGAGATAAAAAAAATAATTATAATAGATAAATAATGATATTAAAGATAAAAACTAAAATAATAAAAAAAATGTAATATGGATGTTATTAGATTTATAAAAATGTATAAATATTAATAATAATAAGAAAAATTAAAAAATATAATGAAGTTTTATAGTTAAAATTGAAAAAAAATAAAAGCCGGGTGAAAAAGGAAACATAGTAAATCTTGACTTCTTACCATAAAAATAAAGAATGTCACAAATTTCATCTGTTAAGATAGAATTTGAAAAGAGAATTTCGAGTCTTCCAAATTTTCTCGTTCAAATTCCTAGAATTTTAACAATTTTTTATTTTTATTTTGCCAAACAAGGTAATTTTATTTTAGAATTTTAAAAATCTTTCTACAAATTAAATCTCTCATTCAAATCCTTTATTCAAAAGCATTCTAAGTGTTTTTTCAAAATTTCTCCAAATCTTTTACCTTTTACTACATATGATCCATTATAAAATACAAAACACAAAAAATAAAATATCATTTTATTTGATTATAATATTTTTTTTATCTTTTTTTTTTCATATTATTAATAATATCTATATATTTTTACAAATATAATCATACTCATATATATATTATTTTTTTTATTTCTTCAAATTTAAATAAACTAAAATTTCTTTTAAAAAACATTTAACCAACTATAACAATTACAAATACTAATACTTTAAAATGATGAATTTTAAAATATTTTAATTTTAAAATTTTTTGAAATTTTAAAATTTTTCATCCAAACATACCTTTAAAATTATTTTAGAAAAGAAAATATTGAAATCTCTTTAATAATTTCTTGGTTAAAAGGTCAAAAATATCTTTGAATTATAATTTAATAAGTATTTAAATTAATAACATTTTATTGTAATCAATCAAATTTTTAATTTTTTTTTATTTTGACTCAATTGAATCTTTAAATAATCCAAATCTAGTCATGTGATAATTTAATTAATTGAATCTTTAGAACGATTTTAGAGAGAGAAATAAAAAAAGAAAAGAAAAAATTTATTTGATTTAATTAATATATATTAATTATATTATGTGATAAATTTTTATTTATTTTATTAATATCATATGAAATTTTATTTTAATTGATAAAAATTCATGGTATTAACTTTTTTATTTAAATAAAAATTTAATTAAATGTAAATAAATATTATAAAATATTAATTATAATCAAAATAAAATTTTAAATAATTTTTTAAATATAATTCAAAAACTTGTTATATCATTTACCTAATTTTTTCAACTTCTAGTGTGGGAGGATATGATATTAATTTGGTCAAAGCTTGCCTTTCGTTAAGACTTAAGAAAATGGACTTGTTAAATCTTGGATGAATAGAATAGGCACGTTAAAGAGTGAAAGGGACTATAATAATAATTAGATAAAATTTAGAAAGATCTAATTAGTATTACTTAAAGAACAGAAAACAATTGGTAACATCTTTGTAAGAAAATGATTTTATTTAATTTTTTTATACAAGGAGGCCGCGTTATAGGGACTAGGGAAGATTCATTTTGGAACAGGTCTTTTTCAGAAACCCCGTGGGAGAGAACCGAGAAAAAGAGAGAGAGAAAGAGAAAGAGGAGGAGGAGACACGAACACAAAACTAAGAAAAAAAGAAAAGAAGAAAAAGGTAAAGATTCGATCTACAATTTTCACGTACACCAATTCCCATTTCTTTCCTTTTTCTTGCGTTAGAATTTTTTTTTCTCAATTAGAATTTCTTATGATTTGGCTTCTCAATTATGGGTAAGATTCTGATTTAAGAATTGTCCTATCAAATTTCCTTATCTCTGAATTTCATTTTTGCGTGAACTTAAATTTTAACATGTTTTAAGACCCATAACTCATTTTTTCTATAAAATATTTGCATTTATTTCCTTGTTTCAGATTCATTTGGAATCATTTTGTGCCAAAATAATTGCCTTTTTAGATATATAATTTTCATGTAAAGTTGGTTTAAAGGGGTCTGGTAAATTTCCTTTGTTGCAAACCATAAGTTTTTTTTTTTTTTTTTTAAGTTTTTGGTATTGTTGTTTTGCAGGTTTTGTGTCTCCTCTTGAAGAGAGAATGTCAATGGAATATGAGAGTAACAATTGGATTTGGGATGGGGTGTATTACTATCCCCATCTCTTTGGTGGCCTAATGCTAACGGCCGCCTTGCTCGGTTTGTCAACAACTTATTTTGGTGGAATTGGACTTTTCCCATTGTCATATGTTTGGTCAGATTTAGGGATATTCCACAAGAAGAAGCGTGAGAAGAAGCGCATTCGGGTTTACATGGATGGATGCTTTGATCTCATGCATTATGGCCACGCCAACGCGTTGAGGCAAGCTAAGGCATTAGGAGATGAATTGGTGGTGGGTGTTGTCAGTGATGAGGAGATTATTGCTAATAAAGGCCCTCCCGTTCTACCCATGGAAGAGAGGTATTCATGCCACTCCTTTTTTCTTTTCGTTTTCATTTTTAGTTTGGTATTATGATTTCATAATCTCTAGTTCATTTGTGCCTCGTTCTATTTTGTATTTTACTCATGTAGACACAGTTCTGTTTAGAATCATCATTAACTGTGTTTAAGTTTTAATCACATAGAAATCATTCACAATATCTTGGCTTATTGATGGAAGTTTTGAAGACCAAGTACAGCTCAATAGGCTGTCATGTCCTCAATATGTGAAAGAATAACAGTAGGAAAAGTTAAAATAACATATAATCTGAGCTAAAGTGCAAAAATGAAGAAGCCAAATAAATAATTATTGACAGGTTGGATCTTTGTAGAACTGAACCTTCAGTACTTCATGTCAGGGCTTCAAATAGTGCCGGCATTGCAGTGTAGCGGCTACTATTTAGTGGTAGTGGCACCCTCCGCCACTGCTATTCACTTGCAATGAGGTTGTGAATGGCAATCACACTCACATTGGAGCTTTGTGGCCATAAATAGTGGCATAACGGCCAATAGCAGTTGTAATGGGATGTTAATGCCATTTTTTATATTTTCCAAATCAAATCACACAATAAACAAAAATCAACCTAGAGAAGAAAACCCACACTAATTTCAAACAATTAAGTCAAATCCAACAAATTTAAGTCTCAATCAAACTAAAAAATGAAATTACTTCATGGTAAAAAACAAATACCCATTTTTTAAAATTTGAGTTGCGGATGGTTTGAAAAAAGAGCTCGCATATAGCCTCCATACTGTCAGCTTTAGGCTGTGCTCTATGTTGTCTTCTTCAATTTTGACTCTTGAGAGGGATAGATAAATGAGACATGGCAGTTTAAAATCTCTTGAGGGAGAGGCATTGAGGATCTGAGCAAGACATGAGGGTCATTGGTTGCGTTTGGTGGCTTTGTTGCAAGATGGGGAAGAGAAGTAGAGACAGAGGAGGAAAGAGAAACAGAAGAAAATGGAATGGGGATTTTGAAGGATGAAGACCATGCTCTACTATTGGTGAGAAGAGAAGAAAATGGGTTGGAATTTATTGAGAATTTGGTTTACAAAAGCGAAGGCTGATACTGATATCATGAGGTTTTAAAGATTAAAATTGATTTTTTTTTGGGTTTAGGCGAAATGATAGGAGGGAAAAATAAATATGGATGGGAAATAGATATTTGCGAATTTTTTAATTATTTAAATGAAATTTTAAGAGGGATGTTAGCTCTTAATTAGTTAATTTAATTTTGTATAATTTAATTCATGTATAATCATTTAATTTAAAAGAATTAATTTTATTATAGAATTTTGATATTATGAATGTTATTGTTAATTGAATTTTTTTGTAAGTTTGATTATGGTTATGTTGCTAACTATTATGTTATTTTTGTTAATTAATTATTAAAAATGTTGCACTTGTGTATTTGATTTAATGTTAAAATACAAGTATCTATGTTCAAGGAATTATATTTGAATCCCTTACCCCAATAATCATATCTTATAAAAGAAAATTTTAATATTCATCAACATTCTTCCTAATAAGATTAAATATGTATTTATAACATTCATGTCCATAAAATTCATGAATATATTAACGAACATGTTAGATATACATATTAATTTATGAGTTGTAACTAAAAATTTTATTTTAACATATAAATGAATGAATTAAAATGTCATAAATTACTTTAAATATCATAAATAAGTGTTATTATGATTATAATAATTATTTAGTTCATTTTTTGATAAGTTGTGTAAAATAGGAAAAAATTCACAACCACGATGAGCATAATTACCGTTATTTTATCCATTACATCCACAACGGTAATAAATGCAACGCAACTGAAAATGTAGCTACAACCTCAATTTAAATCCCTGCTTCACGTATGCATTTTATGTTAATTAATGAACAACAAGGATTGTATAGGCTAGTTATCCGGTGCAACAGTTTCGTTTACAAAAGGTTCTAGGTTAGAAGGTTGTAAACCTTAGGTATGTTCTTTGCATCTAACATAATGGGCTGCATTGATATTGATAAATGTTATGCAATAAAATCCTGAACTTTCAACTTAATTCATCTGTGTGCTGGAGTTCCCCTTGATGGTTTGTTTGTCATATTTGTTCCTCATGGTGAGATTTTTGTAATTAATTTAGTTTACTGGTTCCATGGATCTCATTTGAAGTTCTCTCCAGGCTGGCACTTGTCAGTGGATTAAAGTGGGTAGATCAAGTAATAGCGAATGCCCCCTATGCAATTACTGAGCAATTCATGAACAGTCTGTTCAATGAGCATAAGATTGACTATATAATACATGGTGATGATCCTTGCCTTCTCCCAGATGGAACTGATGCTTATGCCTTGGCAAAGAAAGCTGGTCGCTACAAGCAGATTAAACGCACTGAAGGTGTCTCCAGCACTGATATTGTAGGTACTAAAAATTTTCTTGAACGTGCTCAAGATTCCATTGGTTGTGGCCCCTTCATTTGCTAGCTTCTGTAAAAATTGTGTGCCAAGTATAACATTGTTTCTAATTATTGCACAAATTCTATGAACATAGGAAGAATACTTTCTTCTGTAAAGGATACTAAAGGAGGTGGAAGTAATAATAGCACACTTTTGAATGAAGATTCGGGTGAAAGACATCAATCAAAAAGGGGACAGGTTTCCCAATTCCTACCAACATCTCGGCGGATTGTGCAATTCTCAAATGGCAAGGTACTATTTAATTTCACTCTAGTTATCAGCCTGAAAAGAAAAAAAAAAAAAAAGAAAGAAATGAAAGTGACCACCACTCGGATTGTGCAATTCTCAAATGGCAAGGTACTATTTAGTTTCACTCTAGTTATCAGCCTGAAAAAAAAAAAAAAAAAGAAAGAAATGAAAGTGACTACCACTTGAAAAATCTTGAGCGATTTGTGTTTCAAACGCATGCATTTCTCTCATCTTTAGATATTAGGTGAATGAAAAGGTAATTTATTTCTATACCACATAAAATCGACATAGTCTTTCACCGAAGGTTATAAGAAATGCTGCACAGGAAGTATTTAGACCCAATCAGTGATTTGGTCTACTACGCTAGTAGAAGCCTGAAAGGATCAGCCAATGCCATGTGAGTTCCCTTTGGCCATTGCTTTGAGGATAAAAAGAAGAGAAAGTAAGCTTTGTATTAAGGACCCTCCACAAGTTTCTTTAAGAGTAGCTCTTGGATATGGAGATCTTGATAGCAAATTGTAATTTTAGGCAACATGAACATGGAATAAAGTATGCTATCTTTGAAAATCTGTCAACAAGAAGAGTAATAGCCTCAAAAACTCCAAAAGTGCTTGGTGATCCTATTACAAAAGTTAACCTGGTCTTGCCAAGTTTGCCTGGTAAAGGCTTACAAAGTCCTATATTCTTTTCTCTTCTTCAGCCAGTTGACAAATATGCAACAAAAGATGATTTTCTGACGTCCTTCTTCAAATTACGTTGACAAAATTAATCATTTACCATAGCAATTGACTTGTTACGATCAAACTGGCCAGCTGCCCCTCTGACAAATAATCTTCTCACCATTTGTTTAATTAAGGATGTGTTGCGTAAATGCAATCAAGCTTCAACGAAAAGGTAATCATCATGAATGTAAAAGTCTGGATAAAAGGCTTGCTGCCTTGTTAACAGATTAATATATATATAAATATAAACCATTTGCTCAAAAGATGATTTTTTGAGAGCTGATCTAAAGCTTATCTGTTGGACAGACTTGGAAGTATGAATATGGATCAATGGCCTGGTGCATCCACTGTTTTTTTCTCACTAAAAGCAATTTTGTTTCAAAATGGCCTAAAATTCTGTCATAAGTTGATTCCCTAGCACAATGGCTGTCTGCAAACATTTCTTGTAAAAAATTTATGAGCTATTTCTTTATCAGAGGTGGGGGAAATTGAGGGAGGTATGGCTAGAGGTGGAGCAGATTCTGTTCTCCTTTTGCTTTCTTTAACCCTTTTTCTGTTGTGTTTGTTAGTGCATAATTTGTGGTTCTCTTTCCCTGTCAGTCTTATTCAGTTTTTACCCAGGGACCTGGACGAAATGCTCTCGTTGTGTATATTGATGGGGCATTTGATCTCTTTCATGCAGGGCATGTTGAGGTATTACTATCCCTTTGATACTTTCACAACTGATTTTCTTGTTGGTTATGTTATTATGATGGCATAAACATGTTAGATATTGACAATTTGGTGATTGCTCTACATCAAACCTAAGTTTTTTTATTCCAGCGTTGCTGTAAGATAGGCATTGATTAACAGCTACTGTCTCATTATATAGCCTCTTTTAATGTATGTATTATTGCAATTCTTGAGCATAGCTTACTGTTAACTGGCTTGGCTACTGGCTTCTGCACATATGAACTGAGTAGCTAGCTGATATTGTTGATCTATGGTGATGATTTAGTAACCCTTCTGAAACTTGAATCTTGATCGTAATTAAATTGTAGGATGCCTATCCTGGAATGAGGATCCTTTAGATATGCACTTTTTCTAGCAAATTTTAAAGTAGAGTGAACAAGCAAAGTGCTGTTGAGAAGCTGGGGTCAACCTATTTATTTTTGGACAAGTAAAGCTCAATCTATTTAATAATTTGAGTTGACACTATTATATCATTCAAAGGCATATTTGAGTTAGATAAGGGGACCATGGTGTGGGTGGCTGGGAATTAATTACTAAGTCAAATGCCAGAAGTTCTAAAATTACTTTCTGAATTATACAATTTTATCCAGATATAGAACGTGATCTCCTGTTGCTAAATTCTGCGCTTCATTCTTTTTATTTAGCGGTCCCCAACAATGGAGGGAAGTAGTATGGTATGTATATGACTTAAGGTAGGTACTATTAGAAAGTACTGATACCCCATATTGTCAAATGGCAGATTAATATTAGAAAGCCCAATTGCTTTGTTGAAGTGTTGTAGTTTCCCCACATCTATCAAGCAACTAACTAATCCCAATAAGACACCATTCTGATATCTTTTGTTGTAACATTGAATTACTCTGTAATTGAAAGTCGTTTGCTGAATCAATAACATGCCAATCTAGATGGTGACATCTCCTGACTGATCCTTCCGGGAAAAGATTAACGTATCCAAAATATAAAGGCTGTTGTCCTCAATCTGAAAGTGGTGTGATGTCTCTTCCACCATTTAGTTGATGTTATTTTCATAATCAAAATCAGAAAATGTGCTTGTATACTCATTGGTTGGTTAGAAATAACAAAATTTATTGTTAAGAAAGCTTGCGCAGGAAGTTATACTACCTTTCTCGCCCATATCCTATGTAGGTTCTTAACCCTTATTCTTGGAAAGTCCTATGAATGCATTGTCTGATCCTCTAGAGGATCAACAAAGAAAACAGAAACTGGAATAAAATGTTGGGGTTAACTACTAGAAATGTGATGTAAGAGTTTGTGGACTGATCATTGGAAAAGTGAAAGAAAAGAAAAGGTATTGGAGTAAGGAAGGATTATCAAAATGTATTTTCCTGTGGCTAATATTTGAATAAGACAGAAGAAATTAAGAATATTAAACTTATGTGTTGAGAGAAGAGGAGAAATAGCCTTTTATGGTTTTTTTTTGTCTTTTTTTTTTGGGGGGGGGGGGGGGGGGGGGGAAGAGGGTGTGAGGATTTGTCTGAAAGACATGGAGGGTATACAATCATAAACTTAGCTGAAAATAATCGGAGAAAATTTGTGATCTACTTGATCCATGTTACATGGTACTTGCTTTTTCTAGAATAATAGAACTTTTGCAACTCATTCCTATTTGTCCATGTCCCTAAGCTGTCTTTTATGTTTGCTCAGATCCTCAAGAAGGCAAGGCAGCTTGGAGACTTTTTGCTAGTTGGTATCCATGCTGACCATATTGTGAGGTAGTTCAGTTATGTTATGCTTGGTTTTTATTTGGTCTGATTTGTTACCCCTTAAATTTTGTCCGAACGTTTGGGTTTGGAAGGTTGAAAGTTAACATTAAATATATGCCCATACATCTGGTTACATCTATAAAGGGCTTCTATGAAAGAAATAACTGATGAGTCTCCTTTGCGTGTAGTGAGCATAGGGGGATGCCCTACCCAGTTATGCATGTACATGAGCGCAGTCTTAGCATGTTAGCTTGCCGATATGTTGATGAAGTTATCATTGGTGCACCTTGGGAAATTACAAAGGACATGGTGTGTAATTATCTTTCTCTGAAGTTTATATTGCTATGCCTATAAGTACATATAAATTATATTTCTGTGCAAAGGAGGAGTATATTTCCCTTTGACTAGGTATCTATTTCTTCATAATAACATTCTGTGTGGCTTCATTATTACCTTGTTCGGTGGTGGAACAAACAAGCTACTGTCAGTTCACAGTGAGTTTTAATATGACTTAATCATGGCGATGTGTCTGCTGGGAACAAAACCCATTGTTAGTTTAGGCATTTGAAGTGAGGAAAAGGGAAGGGGGATGGTTTGATCAGGGGAAATAAGACATAATTTCTTCTACTCCTAATTATCATGATCCATTTTATCAAATTTTGTACAAAAGAATGCATCTAAATGTTAGAAATCAAATTTTAAATTGAGGTGATTCTTGTTGGTTTAAGAATAAATGAATCCTTGTCTTTTGCTAAATCTGCTGCTTATACGCCAAAGCACGTCCATTCATTAAATACTTGTACCATACCACTTAATGATTTAGGTGTTTCTAGTTTCTGTTGCCACGTGCTGGTATAGCAATTTGAATCCCCTCCCTAATGCAATAAATGTGTTTCTTTTTCTTAAATATTTTTAAATATCTTATTTCCATTTTTTTGTTAACTCATTGTGCATTTCTGTACTCTTTATGGCTATGCTATTGGCAATTTGCATTATTGGTACTGCTATTGCTATGGTTTGTCATTCTTTAAAATGGGAAAGGTGTTCTGAGGCTACTTTCTTTATTTGAACAGATTACAACTTTCAACATTTCTTTGGTTGTGCATGGGTCAGTTGCAGAGAGTAACTCTTTGTTGCCTGTAAGTTTTCAGACTTCCCCAGGATTTGTTTCACTGTTATGACCCCTTGTGTCTATGGATTTAAAAGAACTGTTGATTTTGCTCCTACAGGGTGAAACTGATCCATATGAAGTTCCTAAGAGCATGGGAATTTTTCGGTTGCTTGAAAGCCCTAAAAGTATAACCACAACTTCTGTAGCCCAAAGGATAGTTGCCAATCACGAGGATTACATGGTATTACTTACACTTACTGCATGGATTTTTTTTGGGGTTCACATTTATGACGTAGATAACTGGAAATGCAAGTTGATTGGCAGTTTACCTTCAGGAACAACATCAATTGCTAGACACTTTATGGATGTTATTAGCTGAGACATTCCAGATTATATCTGACTATGGATATTGTTGAAGTTGTTTTGAAGCTGATTACATATAAAAATTTCTTTTTGTTTATACTCCTCCATGCTAGTGCAATTTCAGGTTTTTAGTACATTATATCTTAGTATGCTTGTATATATATCTAGTTATCAATATTCCTCTAACTTTGCTGCTCACTTTCAATGTAGAAACGCAATGCCAAGAAGGCACAGAGTGAAAAGAAATACTATGAAGAGAAGACTTATGTTGCAGGAGACTAGTCGTACAGGTTTACGTTAGGTAGCAAGTTTGGTACAGTTCTTAACGCTAGCCTTGACCATTCATGTAGATGCTTGTTGAAGACAGTATTGAGAGATAGGAAGAAAAGAAATGACACGGAAATACATCAATACCAGAGACTTCCAAGCGAACAGTTTTAGCTTTTATTATTTTTATTTAGTTCCTGAGATACAGAGGAATCTTATAATAATTTGTTTACTATCATGCTTGTAAACAATGTAATCCCTGATTAATTTATCCCCTGGTGCTCCTAATTTATTCAAAAGCAAAGAAGCTATTTTTATATTACCTGATAATTTTGATTACTAGTTCCAGGTTTATTAAAATACATAGACCAATAACCCAAAACAAATGAAACTATCCCAAAATAAAAAGAAACTATCTTGCTAACCCCTGGATTAGACAACGTTCCAGTTCCAGGGTTTAAACTAGGTGAAGTTTGTTCACACTAAAACTATCTTCTCTTGACGGATAGATGGGAAAGTGGCATTCTTACTGAAATGAAAACAAAAAGCACAAATCTAAATTTGCATCAATTACCATTTAAACATCAGAACCATAAGATCAGAGAAGAAGATACAACCCAATTCTTCCATTTAGTAAAGGAATGATTTCTAGTTGCCAACATCAAAACTACACGCATTTGCAGCCAAGCCAAAAAGGAACCCACAGTCCCATTATATTGCCCCCCATCACCTCTTTACTTGAGCTTTACCCAGTTCATGTTCCTACGCTTAAGATTAGACAACAAAAAATACTTCCAAGGCAACATTCCAAGTCTCCCACTAAAACCAGTCATTGAGACCATGTGATTGGAGTGAACTGGTTTTGAGGAGGCTGGGGGATCATGCAATGCTGCTGTGGCCAGTGATGGATGGCCACGCTTAAATTCAACCCATCAAATTCATATCGACGCTCTTGCTCCATCCTTAGGTTGTCGCTATTGCTTTCTTCTATATCCATTTCATCAGCTTCCTTTGACTCACCATCTATACTTTCTACTGAAGGAATCTGAGAAGGAACCCATGGCACAACTGCTAGATATTCTTCCGTCGCCTTCTTGCTCTCTTCAGTTTTAGTATCATCAAAATCTGCTGATTTCATGTCACTTCCTCGCAGGAATTGGTCTGTAAATCAATTTTCAAAGTCCCAAATCAGAACTAGGAAATCCTTATAAGCTAAAACTTTCAACAACAACAACATTACGAAATTAAACAACTATCAGAACAGAGTAGAGACATGAATGATATATTTGGGGATAAAAGGGAAATAAAATCAGAAATAATATACCTACCCTTAAAGCCACAGATGAGGTGAGAATTGAGAGAGAGGGAGAGGGTAGAAGGGGAAGGCAAGAGATGTTTATTATGAAGAAGAAGTGGGTTAAAGAGAACGATGGCTTTATCATGATTCTCAGGAAAGGACTCCTCTTCCTCTATAATGGGGGGTAAATCAGCATCCAAACGCCGAATCTTAGTGGCTGGCGATGAAAGGGAAAAATCGGAGAAATCATCGTTAACTTGGTCAATGTCCCTCTTCAACTTCCCACTCAAACCCATTTCTTTTAATTTTTTCTTGCAACAACCAAGCGAATTCAATGTTGTTGCAGTAGCTTAAAGCAAGAAATTTATGAGTGTCTCTAGATAAATCCAGAAAATAAAGCAGGATACCGTAGATATTAGTAGTACCTTCTTTTTATTTATTTATTTGTTTTATTTTATTTGAAAGTTGAGTGTCCGACGATACAAAATATCTGTCGTGGTTAGTCTTGTCAAATCGTGGTTTGACGTATGATTTGATTGATTCATTAATCTCTCCCAACGAAATCACTCCATTTAATCTTTTTAACACGTGTTCCACTACGTAACGCCACTTTTTCTTTTCTTCCTTTCCTTCTTGAAAACCTACGTGTAGTACGGAGCTTGATTATTCGCACCTCGCATACAAATTGAATATATTTTACAATTATTATAATATTATAAATTTTTTACATAAAAAATTTTTATAAAATTATTAAATAGATAATTGATTTATTTTTTCAAAAGATAAATATTAAAATAAAAAAATATTTTTTTTGAGAAACAAAGTAAGTTAAAAATTTTGAAAAGATGGATAAAGAGATATTAAAAGGATTACAAACAATTCTTTATCATAGAATGATATAGAATTCAAGATCAAGTAGTTAATTTGTCTTTTTTTTCATTCTTAGATTCTATGTGTTAGATAAAATATCAAAATTAATTTGATCAGAGGGCTTTAATAGTCAAAATCATGATAAAGAATTCTCATAATATAATTTATTATAAAGCATTGGCTCTTACTCTGACATGATCAGGCAGGTTAGCCACTTGTGCAGTTGAGGCTTGGGTAAAACTTAACCTGGGAACTATCTAGAGTCAAGAGGCTCCTCGTAAAATTAATTCTGAGATATTAATAGAGGTTACCCGACAAAAATTGACATAGAGTCTATGCTGTGTTAGAGATGGTATCAGAGTGCTAGTTCTGGATAGAAGAAATTATGTTTTTGATTCTTGATTATTGAAGTTGGATAAGAAAAGTCAAAAGAGAGTTTTATTTTCATGGATTTATCAACCACTAGTAATTCTAGTTCTCAACCCTCATTTTTTAGATTTTTTTTTAGTTTATCCTCTTTCCCTTCTTATGTGCTTAAAAAGTCTTCTTCTTCTAAATTAAAATTTTTGTATGAAGTAAATTATATCCCAAAAGAAAAGAAAACCAATAAACAGTTCTTCTTATTGTAAATCCTTATATAGCTTTATCAAACTCTTCTTTTTTTTTACTAGATTTATAAAAACCCTTTTAAAACCAAAATGCTCAACTCTAAAAGAGTATGTTCAAGCCACAAACTTTGATCAATATATTCTTCTAGCAAAAACTCAAGAGTACTTTGTTACTTTTCAGATCCCAGAAGAATTCTCTCAATAGTGGTTAGAACAAGGATACACGCACATCTATTTTGGTGCTATCAAAGTAGTCTTGACATTTCATGACAGAAATGATATTCCTGTCTGTACCATAATGGCCTTGTTGGACACAAGATTTAAAGAATACAAGCATGCAATACTTGACATAGTTGAGACAATGCTTAATGTAAGAACTGTCTTTTTTTTTTTGTGATTGCAAAAACATGTGGAGTCCTTGGAAGAACATTTGATTTGGAGTCTAGAGGAAGAGTAAAAAGCATGGTGTCTTTAACTTTTTGGAGTTGTTCATCAAGTTTTTGATGTATTTATGCTTTTACAAATCTTGTCAAAAGTTTTCAACATCATCTTGTAAATATCTCTAAGGTTCATGGTTTTAACATCAAAAGATCTAAGATTCAACTGTGTCCTTGTTTGCTGTGCAAGTTCTTTTGGAACAGAGTTGAGAAAAGCTTACTTCAGGTTGACATCATCAAATCCACTAAGTATGTAAAAATATTGAGAGAATTGTTGATAGTGTTTGTTAAAGTTTTTTGGATGAAGGGAACAGTATTTTAACTTGAAGAATTATGCTTTAATCTTATCAAATCTATGAGTTTTTTGGCCATAGTGTGATCTATGGCAAAGGAGTATTGTGAGAACCACTGAGAAAGTCTGAGTAACTATGTATTTGACATATATTTCTTCTTGAAATTAAGCATCTTATCGAAGGCTGACATATCTAATTTCACAAGAAAGTGATAACCAATAAAGTGAAATTTAAAATTTTGGATTCCATACTTTATAGCTAAAATTTCTTTTAGTGTAGAGTAATAATGAAGCTTTGAATCTTTGAATTTACCACTCTTGTAACCACATATCTGTTTGGTTCCATCCTTTTCTTCTAAAAGGATTACTGACTAAAATTGTTCACTTGCATTTGTCTGTAGTATTTTTTTTCATTTGAAAGAATCTTTAAAGTTAGAAGTGACGTGTTATTATCTTCAATGTTTGTACTGCTTTTGTCTGCTTCAGAGACCACGTGAAAAGTTTTTTTCTTAACATTTGTCTGAGAGGATGAGTTAACTATGTAAGATCTGAGAGAAATTCACTCATATAATTAACTACACCAAGGAATTGTTGTACTTGCTTTTTTGAAAAATTTTTATAAAAAAAATCTGTAAGTGTTTGAGCAATGTGAGATTAAGCTATGTACTGTCCATCTTTCAAATGCATGCTTAAGAAATCAATTTCTGAGGCACCAATGATCATCTTTTTCTCTAAGAGCATTATCACATACTGTTGAATAATCTGTTGGAACTTATACAATAGTTGTGTATGAGAAGTGACATTTGGAGAGAATAGTAAGATATCATTAATGTAAATTAATGTATTATAAAAAATGTGAGTAAATATCTTCGTCATTGCTTTCTAGAATAGTGAAGAAGCAACTTTTAATCCAAAAGGCATAACTGTCCATTGAAAATGGTGTTGAGGGATACAAAATGCCATTTTGTATTTGTCTTATGGATGTATACCTAATTGCCAAAATTTTACTTTCAGGTCAAATTTGGAGAAGATTTTTGCATTTGTCAAATTTGCAAACAAAGTTTTTCTATTTGAAAAGGGAAATTTATCATCTGCAAGGAAAATGTTAAGAAGCTTGTAATTAATCACCAATCTTAATTTTTTACGAACTTGTTCTAAATGTTTATTGACATAAAATGTGTCACATGCCTATGAAAAAGAGGTTGGTTCAATTAATCCTTGAGCCTGGATAAGGAAACATTATTGGATTGCCAGTTTGAAATGATCTGGGTTCATGCTTGAATAACTTGCTTTTGTGAGATTGGAATTTTCATCTTTTTGAAGGGAAGGGTAATGAAAAATTCAAAGTTTTTCCAAAAAGGGTGGTAGTATTTTTGGAGAAATTTTGAATAGTTTTCTACACAAAAAAAGTGAATGAATTTCTGTCTAAATTCTTGAATGACATGTGAATGAATTTCTGTCTAAATTCTTGAATGACATCTGGTTGGATGGTTAAGGTGAAGAGGTGGAGAAGGTTTTTTCAAGGTCTAAAATAACTTTCAAACTTTATACCTTTTTCATTAAGTCTTAAATTTGATATACTGATTATGACATCAAAACCAATAACAAGGTCTTTTTGGAAAAGTAGAGATCTTAAAATCTTTTGAGTTATTTAACAACCTGAGAAAATCTGAAAGGTAACAGAGTTGCTGATAAAGTCTGTAGATAATACATTCTCATCAATAGTCTTGAAAAAAAGTTTTTTGTTTTTTTGAAAGGTTTTTGGTAAGACAAAATAGGATTTGCTATGGTTTGTGTTGCACCAATGTCAAAGAAAGTGGTAACTGTTATGGAAGGAGAATATTTATGAGTGAAGATCTGAACTGGAGCTAGAGGTAGTTTTAGAGGTTGAAAGGTTTGGATTTTTTAAAGTTCTTAGATTGTCATATACTCATAGCATCAATCATTTGTAAATTCATCTGAGTAATCAAAGTGCTTGATCATAAATAATGTTCTTTCATTCTGCTCATTATCAAGGGAAAAGATTGATTCAAGGTTATTATCAGAGAGATTAATACTAGAGATATTAGCAATGTCTTAGATTATCTTGACTGATCTTTTGTCTGACTTTGGGTAATTTTTTACAAAATGTCCTCATTTTCCACAAAAAAAAAAAACATTTTAAACTTTTGATCTTTAGGTTTTTTTTTTCTTGCAAACTTGAATCTTTTGAATCTTCTAGGCTTTTCTGCTTTTTTGAACAATTTTTTGGATCTAAAGAAATGTGAGTTTTTGGGAAATCTGAATTTTTTAAATTACTTTTTTTTCTTGTGATTGCAAAGAATGTGGAGTTCTTAGAAGAACATTTGATTTGGAGTCCAGAAAAAGAGTAAGAGCATGGTGTCTCTAACTTTTTGGAGTTGTTCACCAAGTTTTTGATGTATTTATGCTCTTTGCAATTCTTGTCAAGGGTTTTTAACATTAACTTGTAAATATCTCCAAGGTTCATGATTCTAAAATCAAGAGATCTAAGATTCAATTATGTCCTTATTTACTGTGCAAGTTCTTCTGAAATAGAGTTAAGAAAAGCTTGTTTCAGGTTGACATCATCAAATCCACCAAGTATACAGCAAACAAAGACACAGCTGAATCTTAGATCTCTTGCTATTAGAACCATGAACTTTAGAGATATTTACAAGTTAATGTTGAAAGCCCTTGACAAGATTTAGAAAGAGCATAGATAGATCTAAAACTTGGTGAACAACTCCAAAAAGTTAGAGACACCATGCTCTTACTCTTCCTTTGGACTCCAAATCAAATGTTCTTTTAAGGACTCCACATGTCTTTGGAATCACAAGAAAAAGAAGCATTTTAAAAAATTTAGATCTCCCAAAAACTCACATTTTTTCAAATCCAAAAAATTATTCAAAAAAGCAAAATACCCTAAAATATTCAAAAGATTCAAGTTTGCAAGAAAGAAGAGAGACCCAAATATCAAAAGTTCAAAATGTTTTCTCTGTGGAAAACTAGGACATTTTGCAAAGAATTGCCCAAAGTCAAACAAAAGATCTATTAAGATGATCCAAGACATTACTAATATCTCTAGTATTAATCTCTTTGATGATGACCTTGAATCAATCTTCTCCCTCGATGAAAAGATCACTGTTTATGATAAAGCAATTTGATAATGATGAGTCTGAATCTGCCTCAAATTACTCAGATGAATTTATAGATGATCAATGCTATGAGTACA